TGTACATAGGAGGTTTGCGATAGGGCCGAATAGGGAGTTAGACCTGGATTCTATGCATACTCTATTTATGGTTTTGGATCTTTATGCGAGATAGACTTATGCGATATTGGTAAGCATAGTGGTTTTGCTCATCCCCATTGTTTTGTTGTTGTCCTCTTGTTTCTCTTCATATCTTTAGGTTGAGCATAGTTGACGGCGGCAACGAGGGACAAGCGAGCAGTGGTCATGGATTTGATGTGTCTTTGCTTCCGCTTCTTTCATTTTTATTGAATTGTTTAACTCATTGGATAATATTGCTTCCACTTGAATTGTTTTGGAATTATTTGAACATGGCTTGGTTTTCGAAACCTTATTATCAATCGATTTGATTATTATGATGGTTAGTATGCATGTGTAGTTTCTTTGTGATTGTGTAGTTTAAGTAGCGCCAGCTAATGTCTAAAGTTTTAATTTAGAATTTTGCGAAAAATTTAATCTGATTTTTATAAATAAATTCGATAAACTGTTTAATATAAAACGGGACATTACAGTATGGTATTAGAGCTAGTCTGCTTTTCTGTAGACTATCTCTAGTGTTAGTATATAACGACCATTGACCACTCACTTTCGTCTCGCCGCGCCAGCTTGAGGTATGAGTTATGTTGTTTTATTTATTTATTTTATATGGGGCTTAGGACTATCCACCTTCGTTGTAATTTGAATTCTAGTGTTTCTTGAGCAAACTCTAGTCGCATTTGGGGTTAATTAATTATGAATCCTAGAAATTTCTCTCTATAAGCTTCGAGTTAGCACCTTGTGCGAGCTATCTCATGGATAGATGAGATTTGCGTTTATGTACCATAGCTATCTAGTGACCAACGTCAAGATGCCTCATTGAGATTAGACAACTGAGAGGTTCCGAATGTGTGGGATCACTCGAACGTCTGGGGCAGCTGACAAGTGGACCGGAGGAGCAGTGATGGAGTTCAATTTTTTTTTTCTGGGAGTGCGATGATTGAGATTTAAAGCTTCGAACGAGTTGTCAACTGATGCCGGAGAATTCTGTTGATCGATGGAGTATTGCTAAAGTAATTCTCAAAGATGGCGAAAGCTCGGGGAAAAGCGACGGTTACCTCATTGCGTGAATTATGAACGTTGACCGAGAAGGCTGATAGTTTAACGTAATGACTCTGTAAACTCAAGAAGATCTAGCGTACCGTATATGCAGAGTCCTAACTCGACAATTCTGTTATCGTTTGCTATATCGAATACTGACATGGAGGCCAGGAGAGGACCATGTCGTTTCATTTCAGGCGCGAATGAGGGAGAGTCATCACCGGGAAATCGAGACTGAGTGTCGTCTATTAATCTTTCCAGTTTCCGTGTTTTATCTTTTAAACTGTTGTGAAATTCTTGTATTTGATGCTTGGAACTAACTTTGTTTAGAGACTTTGTGTGCAAAGAAGGATAAGCATATTTGTTTTCTGCTAAACCTTATTTGTCGCAAGGTTTGTGATTTTTGTTTGTGATAACTCCGAGTCCGTGCACTCGAGAACGCAAAGGTCGGTGCAAGCCACTATGGTATCTTGACCTGAAGGCCAGCGACGGTCATTTGTCTTGTTATGATTAAATTGTATATCGCATCGGAAATAGTTTTTCCCCATCGGGAGTCGTCGGCATGCGAGAAAGGTGTTCTACCTTAAAAGAATATGAAGGATATTTTAAGGAGGGTAGTCGAGCCTGGAGAATGTGCATTGTGAAGCGTAGAGCCGCCTGCATTCTCGAACTTGCGTTTTGTTGTAAACTTTGTCAAGTTTTCGTTCTTTTGTCTTCATTTTGGCCTTCGGGAGAAATCTTTCGTTCCCTAGGATTTTTGCAAAACCCTTGAAAACCCTTGTTCTTGTTTTCTTGTTCGCTTGGAGTTTCGAGATCAAGTTTTACGATCTGATTTACCAGCTAAGACAAGTGTTTCCAGCTTTCTACTTGTCTTATATTATTCTTTTAGTTGTGTTTGGGTATTCTATTCATCCGAACCAATTAAATTTTATCGTTATCGAGAGCGAGTTGGACCATTTATGAGTCACACCAAGCATCTGAGTGCACATAAGAGTAGTCCGGAGGATCAGCAAAGAAGGCCACTAGACGAGCAAGGTGAGTTGCAACCAGCCTGAACACTGGAGGAGTTGATCTGTTTCATGGCAAATAATGCTGCACGTCGACAACCGTAAACTCAATCAACAGACGCCGAAGGATGATCAACCACTACTACAAAGTGAAGACCGATGCGAGACCCGATGTACCATTAACAGAAGATCGAGTAGTAGACGTATCTAACCGGACTCTGGAACCAGACGAGAATATCGACAGTCGTATAGTGATTTCTTTGGGCTAAGTAACGCAATGGAGACTACAACAGAATGTCTAGTGTTAATTCTGCAGCGATGTTATAATCTAAGAACTCCGAGACGTAGCGGAAATAACTGAAGATGTGATCTAGGTCATTTCGACGAAAGAAGCCTCTCGCCTAGACCTTGAGATGTGAAATCTGGGCAATGCAGATAAGTGGAGCTCGTTCAGGACTGCTGGCACGATTAGCTACCAGAGGAAGAGCTGACGTGACGGCCGACGCTGTTAGTCGGAAGAGCCGAAGTGAGCTAGCTTGTTAGTGTCTCGAAAGAGTCACTGACCTAGTACCATTCTCGACTGGAGAGCTGCATTAGATTTTCTTTGAGGATTTTTGCCTATCTCTAACATTGGGTCTAATGCGTGTTAGAGTGTGTTGTTGGAATAAGGTAGTGGACTTGGAACTCGGTTTTATGCCCTGTTATTTTTTAGACCTTGAAACCAAAAAGCTTGTTTGGAATGAACCCCATTTGTACACTGGTGACACAAAACTCCTCGACCGGCTGGAACTTGAGTAATCGCCTTCTTTCTCGCCGGTTGAATGTCGTGTACCTACAAAGAACTCTCACACCGGAGGGGTTTTCCGGTGAAGAGCCTCCGATGCTTAAGTCAGTGTATATTCAATCAAATCTCCAGAGTAATAGAATGATCGTGTTGAAGAAGAAAGGCTCACCCCCTTTTTATAAGGGTGAGATACCTGACCTAGGGCTGCCCGGATTTGATGAGTTGTCTGCCCTAGCTGCCCGTCCGTACACACCAAACGCGTGTGTCAGAGGCGGCCGTCGCCACTATCACCTGCACCAATCCTCTTTGGACGCGTGTCCC